TGTTTGGTTGGCTGCAACCAGCGCCCACACTGTGAAAATCACCTAAGCTGACGTGGGTGTACAATTAACCATATGTAGAGCTGGTGGAGTGAAAACACATGGCAACAACAGGACGAGGCTCACAGATTTCATCGGTGTTGGAAAGCGTATCTGTATTGTGGTTACACGCTGTGAGAACCTGCATTTATTATTTTTATATTCTTGATCAAATTAAAATCTGCCTTCTGAATGCAATCAATATTTTTTGTTCAATAAATACTACTTTTTTAAGTAATGCAACTAATTTTATTTAGTGACATTGGTTAACCAAGTTTGTCTTTTTTTTGTTTTAAGTAAATCTGCAGCTATCATATTTTATAGTCTGAACCTGCCTTTAATGAATGTTTTTTTTTTTTTTCTGGAAAATGTTAGACTTTCCTTTATGGTTTTTGTCGTCAGAAAATTCAGCCAAGATGCTGTTGCATTTTCAATGACTCTTATGCACTTCTGCTCATTCACAAGTGGCAACCCTCTTAATGTGCAACCTTTGCATTTCTACGATAATATTCTCCTACCTTGTTCTGTGTTCTCCTGGTCTGGTTCCGTTTTATTCTTCTTCTCAAGGAAGGAATCCTCAATAAATGAATATTCTTATTTTCGTAAACTCTTTTCCTAGCTTTCCCAACTTGCTTTCGGCTCTGAGAAAATAAACATATCACTGTGGTTAGTCGGAAGTTACAACCAGTACACAAATGTTCTGCTAAAAAGTTCAAAATTTGAACATTTCTCGTTGTTTTTGGTCAAAATTATTTAATTTCGGTGTTGATGTGACTTAACCTCTAGCTGAAATATATCTGTTGCCTACATGCATCATATTTCCAGTATGACTGACTGCATTCTTGTCCGAAAACTTCGCATTAAAAAGCCGAGTTGCCATGGTGACGCTACCAGGATATGATCACGTGTAATAATATTCAGCTATGGTTGTTTTGGGCTAGCTCCAAAATGTTAGCTCTGAAATATTTACTGAGCAAACTTTACTTACATAATCGCTACTTAACTTCGCTGACATGTTTATCTAGCGCTGTTTCACCATCTATCACCAATAAACTGCGCCGTTTCAATTTCTTCAGCCGTAACTCCGTTACCGGCCAAAAACTCACGATAGGATACGTAGATGCGTAGAATTCAATGATGCGTTCATTTACACTAGGAAATCTCATAATTACTCTGAAGCAAAGGTTTAGGCGGCAAATAAATCTGTTGAAGTCCGTACTTGTTTTCCTAGAAGATTATTAAATTTATCTCGCAAAGTAATCATTCGTAGTTTTGTAAAAGTAATTAATTAAAAACACATGTTCGAACTGGTTCTGAACTGGAGGTTGACTTTCAAGCAGGCCATCAGCCTGCTGGAAGGTCTGTCAATTTTCCTATTAACTTCCCCGTCACTGCTGAAGAGGGACATTCCCACAGGATGATGCTGCCTCCACCGTGTTTAAATCTGGGAATGACAGCAGCTTATGTGAACCACCTTGTTGCGACAATCACATTAAAATAAAAGTTATAAAATAAACAAATAAGGTACTACACCATTGCGCTATCAGAAAGTACACAAAAATAAGATGAGAAATACTCCTTCACCTTTGATAGAACTAAAATAAGTGCAAACACTACTGAATTTTAAGCAACAGATTCATCTCATGGCTGGAGCCAAGCGGTTTTCATGGAAGTGAACAGCCTGACACCATCCAGAGGAGGGAAAAGAATTGATTAAAAAGCAGTCAGAGTTTAACAGTTTGCATCTTTAGGAAAACAAAGAAATGCTTCCAAAAAAATAAACATAAAACCCTTCAAATTCTGTCCTCCCCCCCTCCCCCTTCACTGCATGCCAGACAGTTTCACACCACTAATTCAGACTGGAGTCATGCGTCAGCTCTGGAGATGTCAGAGATGGCGCCGTCTGACCGCTGCTGGCTCAGATGAGCTCACTGAGGCAACAGCACACATGGATCCCCTCTACCCCGACAAACAAATACAACCTAACCCTCCGTTAAGTGACATCAGGACAAATTAACCACACAACACATTCCACTTTTTACAGTTTTATTCATTAATATTACAGATTATTGCTCATCTTCTAACATGATCACTTCAGATTTTTTACTTTGTTTTTGTTTTCAACAACTTAAAGCATGACTGAGAATTTAGCCAGTTTGTACTGTATGAGGATTTACATCAATAAATACAGGAGACTTCTTTACACCTTACTATACACCTACATTTTTTGTCAGATCTGTATATAGTTTGTATATACATAAACAATGCTGGTGTCTTCCCTCGTCCAGTTAACCGTATATTAAAACAGTTCTCCTCCCTTAACCCGCAGGTCAGGATCCTGAGGCAGCTGTTAAAAAGTAACTACGGCCTGCGAGACAGAAATAAAAACATAAAAGATATGGACAAACACACACACACACACGCACACACGTCATTCATAAGCACACATTCACAGAATTAAAGAGGGTGTGGGGGGAAATAGGCCTTAAGACAATGGGTCACACAATCCTGTGTGGAGATTCAACAGCACAAGGAGACAAGGACGCACAGACACCGACTGCGACACAGAATGGAGGAGTTTTGCTTTAAGGTGGCATCACAGATTTTCATATTACACACTTCTTTTGGGCCACTATTCAACTCTTTTTGATATCAATGATATAAATTGTAGACGGGTGAAGAATTATAAAAATAAAAAAACAAAACAAACCTCGTTCAAACACTGAGTTGGAAAAATAAGCTTGAAGTGCGCATCACAGTATGAAATGCTTTCTGATAGGGATAAACATCAGCTGATTGTGGTTCTATAAAAAGTATTGACACCCCGGGTAAAGACGCAAACAAAAAGCCTAAGGTAAAGACGTGCTGACCTCACGGCGTTTGCATATCGTACACCATGTTGAGTGCAAGTTGTGGTAACAGCAACACCCTTCGGTGCAGAAGTCGTTACTGAAGGAGGGACGTTGGAAGTTAGGCGTTTTCAATGTGTGGGGTGTAAAGAGTTCCTGAAGAGGAGACGGGTCTAAATATATTCAGGCTGTGAGCGCAACAGAGACTTAAAGTGGATAATGGGAAGGCTAAATCAAATGTGGTACCATTTCTGTTTTATCCTTTCAAACAATCAATTTCTGCCATTATAGTGGATTTGTGAAATTTTACACTAAAGGTAAGGGAATGCAATCTTTCATACACATGGAGACAAAATTATTCATTTTAATTCACTGATTTAATTCCAAAAATATGCGTTTAAAAACTCTGAATGTTTTTTTGAAGCTACTTTGCTTTAACTCGCACAGTGTGACATCGCCTCTGCTTCTAGCTTACTAAATGCACTGACGTTCACTTAAGATGCAGACAAACTGGCTGTTGATCAGAATCCAACAAATTTTCAGAACGACTGGATTCAACTTTGGTGGCCAGAAACTCAAAAATCCAATCATTAACCTGACCAACGAATGCAACATGCTGTTATTACAAGTTGACAACAGTCTTTGGTGTTGAAGTTGTTACAGAAAGATTAGTTTCAGTGCAAGTGTTTCAAATGAAGTTGGGAGACGAAAAAAAAAAAAAAAAAAAAGGAAAAAACTCCCTTGGAAAAAAGGTTGCCTGCTTTTAATTTAGGCTGCAAAAGAGTAGGAATTACAGAAGACAACAGGAAGTACAAATGCATTTCTAGCTTCAATCTATTGTGTCATGGAAGAAGATGTGGAAATGTTCACAGGAAACTGGAAATGGTCATCTGTGCTTTATCATCGTTAAACAGCAGAGGAACAGGAAGTCGTATTTTCCGATTTAAAAAAGGTATTTAAACACTGATCAAGGGACAATGAAAAAAAAAAAAAGAAATTAAAGATTAATTTAAGGCTTTAGGTTGTAGCTTTACTTGGGGTGTCAAAAAATCTGGAGGGGAAGCATGATGGATTTGTTTTATATATAGTATAACACTGGTTTGTGTTTCCATCTGGTTAAGCATCGAAGATTGTGCAGATGAGATGTTAGTAGTGATTGCGTCTTATTACACAATTATAAAAGAAAAAAAAATCTTCAATAGTGGATGGAAAGTCATCGCAAAATCTGATCTCCAAACATGAAGAAGAATGTGCTTCTGTGATTAGGATAAAAACAATCATCAGTCAGAATGTTGGCGAGTAATTGACAAATTTCAGTACCCTTAACCTGTTGATGTTGTTGTATGGCAAGTACAAAAAAAAAAAAAAAATTTAAATTAAAAAGAAGCGCCATACTTTTTATGGAGTACCTGCAACAAACTGCTTCATGCTATGTAAATACTCTGTCACAGTATTCAGAATGAGGGTTTGAGTACATTTATTACAGATGATTAGAACATTTAGTTGCTTCTCTGTGCGACACGACGATTCGGTCAAAAATGAAATATTAGAAGGAAAGATAGAAAAATCTTAAATTTTATATAAATATCTAAATATACAGTATACCTTTGTAATGATTTGACAATCTGCCATGCTTCTACTACAGTATAGTCATTCTTGTTAAAGAAAAGGAAAAAGAAGAAAAAAAAGAAAAAGGAAAATGATTAAATACTTGTTGTGACTTCAACACTGGTGTGTTGTGAGCAGCTGGAGACCAAAAGAGCAGCCAATGAGATGGTTCCACTGTGGGTTTAAGAGACGGGTGAGGAGAGCAAGTCGACATCCAGTCATGTTTATACAAACGAAAAAAGGAAAAAAAGCATTAAAATACAAGATATGATTGGACCCCTGAGGCCCTCACACAAGATCTGCAACCCGCCCTATTTTTGTTTTGTTTTTTGAAAATCAAAAGGTAGAAAATGAAAGACGATGAGGGAGGGAAAAAGTAAACAGCAAAAAAAAGGGAAGAATTGTCCATGACTAAATCTTCAGTTGCACACCTATTAAAAAAAAGAAAAAAAAAAGAAAAAAAGAAAGAAAAACAATCAAAATTTTGCTTACAGAGTCTGTGTTTCATCTTTTTAAGGAGAAAGAATCAAAACTCTGGCGCCGTGGAGGGAGGAAAGAGGACTAACGTACAACTCGACGCATCTAAAGAGAGATGGCGGAGAAAGTAAAACGACTCTTGTTCGACGAGGAGCGAGAGTGGCTCCAGAGAGGAGTGATTTTTTTTATTTTTTTATTAATACGATTATTACTGTGGGTGGGTGGGAATAAACTAAAGCAGGAAACAGGAAAAGTTAGGGCCCCTCCTTTGCTCCATTTGTAAAGCAGGTGTTTTGACTATGCCGTCTATCCTTCTATCCCCCTCCTCTTCTCCCTCTGAGTCCGTGCGATTCATGGAGAACTGATATCTCCTCATTCAACTCAATGGTTTAATACCTGGAGGAAAAAAAACAAAACACAAGAAAACAATAGAAAGCTCAAATCAGAAAGTGAACAGAAGGAAGCAAATTCAGTAACTTCTGTCCGGCTAAAAACCACAAACTTTCATGTATTTTATGCAATAAAAGCTGCAACTGATGTGGAATGGAAGCGGCCATTTTGGAGCAGTTTACCTATAGTAGTTTGGCTTAAAGGGCCCGTTCTTGTTCAAGCCCAGGTACTTGGCCTGCTCATCGGTCAACTCTGTGAGATGCGCATCAAACGTCGGGAGATGTAAGCTGGCCACATACTCATCTGGGCAGCAGGGGAAAAAAAAGAAAAACGGAGAGAGAGTAAATGTCTTGGCATTTTCCAGGATCTCTGACCTGAAAAATTATAATTTGAAAAAGGAAATCCAGGGTAACTACTGTCTTCCTTTTCTTATACAAGCCCTTTTACATTCACTGACAGAGCGACCTACATCTGCCTTTCTTTACCAGGCTTCTCTATCAGCATGCATGATCCGTCTTTAATAACATCAAACTGAAGACATTTTTACCCATTTTCTTGGGCAGCAGATAAACATCCTGCTTGTACCTTCCCTCGGGGGCGTTGTAGAGCTCTATCAGGGCCAGAGCCTGCAGGGAAACAAATCACATAAACATGTTTGAGCAGACTTCTCAGTTCGTCACGGAAAAAAGAGAGCTGTAAATGTAGAAAAAAAAAAAAAAGAAAGAGAAAGAAAATCAGTTAAAACAACAGAAATGTACCTGGGTTGTGGCAGTGATGGAGAGCACAAACGTGGGCACAGTGGAGCAGCTCAGGTTCAGCAGACGGCCCTGGAGAGAAAATTAAAAACACACACACACACAAAAAAAGAAGAAAAAAAAAAACCCGTTAGAAACACACTTCTGCTGGCTTGGTGTTGCTCAAGCTTTTACCAAGACCAAACTGAGTAAAAACCTAATTTTTACATATCAGGGTTTCCTCTACATGTAACTGATTACAGTGCACTGCTGAGGCAAAATAAAAGCTGCCACACCTTCAGAATGAAGATGTTTAAACATTTGCTAAAACAATTAAAGCACACGGGATGTTTACCTACATATATGGTCTGTATTTGTTCACTTAAACTAACCATAATCAGAGTTTGAAATGAAATTAAACATCATGGAACAGTAAAACTTAATCTACTTTGAAAAGGTGACACTGCTGGCGCAACTACTGTGTGCTGCGCTGCTCTCAGCAGTGAAGTAGAGGGAAAGAAAACTCTATAGGAAGCTACCAAAAGGAGGTTAAGATTCATGTATTTTTAGTTCAAGCCTGTGAAAAACAACCCTAATGTTAAAGCATGTTGTGTTTGAACAACAGTAAAGAAGCTAGTTAATATAGTTTGGCTTCGATGCATACCTAGCTTAGTGTCGGATAATTCCCCCCCCACCCACTTAGATTCATTTCTGGTTGCATTTTCAGTTAAATATATTCAAATATTTTCAGAAGAGGGGATGTCAGATGGAGATGCTCAATGTTTTTTATTGTGGCACAGTTCCCTCAACTTCTCAGGAATGCAGAAATAACAGTGTTCTGTACCGCGACACTTCCTAAGGTCCCTTGAGTGATATTGGTGACTGAAACGAATTAGTCAATTCCCCTGGTTTAATTAGAAAATTTTTTTTTTTTTTTTTTTTTTAAAGGTCTTAGAGCAGGGGTGCCCAAAGTCGGTCCTCGAGGGCCGGCATCCTGCATGTTTTAGTTCTCTCCCTAGTGATAGCAACAACCTTCTCAGCAAGTCAATGTTCTCTTTAGACCTTCTAATGAGCCATAATTTGATGCAGGTGTGTTAAACCAGGGAGAGAACTAAAACATGCAGGATGCCGGCCGTCGAGGACCAAACCGACTTTGGGCACCCCTGTCTTAGAGGAGCGCCTGCAAATCATAATAGAAATATGAAACAAAACAAGCTTTTAATTCCAGGTTCACTGATGTGGTTCCAACCTGCTTCAGATCAAACGGGTTCAGATTCGTCGGCTCCAAGGAGCTGGCAGCTCGGCCGGCCCTGCTGAGCTGCTCTCATTCTGTCATGGCTCATGATTCACTCACAAATACACCACTTCTTATCCAGGCGACACGTGCCCTGATACATATTTTACGCTAACTTCATACATCTGGATGCAACCAGATCTGTTTTCTGCATCTTTAACCGTTCTCCGACTAACATGAATCAGCCAAGTCCGCAATGCAGTTCACAGCAAGAAGTCAGACCGATAGGATTTGTTTGGACGTTTTTAGGCACCTCTGCCAGCAGGACTATCCTCTTGGCATCGGGCCAGATGATGTGGTCCACCTGTGAGCGAACCCTCTCCCAGGTTAGTTCAGGGGTCCGCAGGCTGGCCTGCGGAACGAAAACAATTTAAGGTCATTTTAGCCTCTACATGTGGAAGATGATCTTTTCCCCAGCTATTAGGATGGATCAAATAATTAATTGACTTAAAAGCCCAAAAACTAAAACACATTTCCAAATTTCTTACAAANAGCGCCATACTTTTTATGGAGTACCTGCAACAAACTGCTTCATGCTATGTAAATACTCTGTCACAGTATTCAGAATGAGGGTTTGAGTACATTTATTACAGATGATTAGAACATTTAGTTGCTTCTCTGTGCGACACGACGATTCGGTCAAAAATGAAATATTAGAAGGAAAGATAGAAAAATCTTAAATTTTATATAAATATCTAAATATACAGTATACCTTTGTAATGATTTGACAATCTGCCATGCTTCTACTACAGTATAGTCATTCTTGTTAAAGAAAAGGAAAAAGAAGAAAAAAAAGAAAAAGGAAAATGATTAAATACTTGTTGTGACTTCAACACTGGTGTGTTGTGAGCAGCTGGAGACCAAAAGAGCAGCCAATGAGATGGTTCCACTGTGGGTTTAAGAGACGGGTGAGGAGAGCAAGTCGACATCCAGTCATGTTTATACAAACGAAAAAAGGAAAAAAAGCATTAAAATACAAGATATGATTGGACCCCTGAGGCCCTCACACAAGATCTGCAACCCGCCCTATTTTTGTTTTGTTTTTTGAAAATCAAAAGGTAGAAAATGAAAGACGATGAGGGAGGGAAAAAGTAAACAGCAAAAAAAAGGGAAGAATTGTCCATGACTAAATCTTCAGTTGCACACCTATTAAAAAAAAGAAAAAAAAAGAAAAAAAGAAAGAAAAACAATCAAAATTTTGCTTACAGAGTCTGTGTTTCATCTTTTTAAGGAGAAAGAATCAAAACTCTGGCGCCGTGGAGGGAGGAAAGAGGACTAACGTACAACTCGACGCATCTAAAGAGAGATGGCGGAGAAAGTAAAACGACTCTTGTTCGACGAGGAGCGAGAGTGGCTCCAGAGAGGAGTGATTTTTTTTATTTTTTTATTAATACGATTATTACTGTGGGTGGGTGGGAATAAACTAAAGCAGGAAACAGGAAAAGTTAGGGCCCCTCCTTTGCTCCATTTGTAAAGCAGGTGTTTTGACTATGCCGTCTATCCTTCTATCCCCCTCCTCTTCTCCCTCTGAGTCCGTGCGATTCATGGAGAACTGATATCTCCTCATTCAACTCAATGGTTTAATACCTGGAGGAAAAAAAACAAAACACAAGAAAACAATAGAAAGCTCAAATCAGAAAGTGAACAGAAGGAAGCAAATTCAGTAACTTCTGTCCGGCTAAAAACCACAAACTTTCATGTATTTTATGCAATAAAAGCTGCAACTGATGTGGAATGGAAGCGGCCATTTTGGAGCAGTTTACCTATAGTAGTTTGGCTTAAAGGGCCCGTTCTTGTTCAAGCCCAGGTACTTGGCCTGCTCATCGGTCAACTCTGTGAGATGCGCATCAAACGTCGGGAGATGTAAGCTGGCCACATACTCATCTGGGCAGCAGGGGAAAAAAAAGAAAAACGGAGAGAGAGTAAATGTCTTGGCATTTTCCAGGATCTCTGACCTGAAAAATTATAATTTGAAAAAGGAAATCCAGGGTAACTACTGTCTTCCTTTTCTTATACAAGCCCTTTTACATTCACTGACAGAGCGACCTACATCTGCCTTTCTTTACCAGGCTTCTCTATCAGCATGCATGATCCGTCTTTAATAACATCAAACTGAAGACATTTTTACCCATTTTCTTGGGCAGCAGATAAACATCCTGCTTGTACCTTCCCTCGGGGGCGTTGTAGAGCTCTATCAGGGCCAGAGCCTGCAGGGAAACAAATCACATAAACATGTTTGAGCAGACTTCTCAGTTCGTCACGGAAAAAAGAGAGCTGTAAATGTAGAAAAAAAAAAAAAAGAAAGAGAAAGAAAATCAGTTAAAACAACAGAAATGTACCTGGGTTGTGGCAGTGATGGAGAGCACAAACGTGGGCACAGTGGAGCAGCTCAGGTTCAGCAGACGGCCCTGGAGAGAAAATTAAAAACACACACACACACAAAAAAAGAAGAAAAAAAAAAACCCGTTAGAAACACACTTCTGCTGGCTTGGTGTTGCTCAAGCTTTTACCAAGACCAAACTGAGTAAAAACCTAATTTTTACATATCAGGGTTTCCTCTACATGTAACTGATTACAGTGCACTGCTGAGGCAAAATAAAAGCTGCCACACCTTCAGAATGAAGATGTTTAAACATTTGCTAAAACAATTAAAGCACACGGGATGTTTACCTACATATATGGTCTGTATTTGTTCACTTAAACTAACCATAATCAGAGTTTGAAATGAAATTAAACATCATGGAACAGTAAAACTTAATCTACTTTGAAAAGGTGACACTGCTGGCGCAACTACTGTGTGCTGCGCTGCTCTCAGCAGTGAAGTAGAGGGAAAGAAAACTCTATAGGAAGCTACCAAAAGGAGGTTAAGATTCATGTATTTTTAGTTCAAGCCTGTGAAAAACAACCCTAATGTTAAAGCATGTTGTGTTTGAACAACAGTAAAGAAGCTAGTTAATATAGTTTGGCTTCGATGCATACCTAGCTTAGTGTCGGATAATTCCCCCCCCACCCACTTAGATTCATTTCTGGTTGCATTTTCAGTTAAATATATTCAAATATTTTCAGAAGAGGGGATGTCAGATGGAGATGCTCAATGTTTTTTATTGTGGCACAGTTCCCTCAACTTCTCAGGAATGCAGAAATAACAGTGTTCTGTACCGCGACACTTCCTAAGGTCCCTTGAGTGATATTGGTGACTGAAACGAATTAGTCAATTCCCCTGGTTTAATTAGAAAATTTTTTTTTTTTTTTTTTTTTTAAAGGTCTTAGAGCAGGGGTGCCCAAAGTCGGTCCTCGAGGGCCGGCATCCTGCATGTTTTAGTTCTCTCCCTAGTGATAGCAACAACCTTCTCAGCAAGTCAATGTTCTCTTTAGACCTTCTAATGAGCCATAATTTGATGCAGGTGTGTTAAACCAGGGAGAGAACTAAAACATGCAGGATGCCGGCCGTCGAGGACCAAACCGACTTTGGGCACCCCTGTCTTAGAGGAGCGCCTGCAAATCATAATAGAAATATGAAACAAAACAAGCTTTTAATTCCAGGTTCACTGATGTGGTTCCAACCTGCTTCAGATCAAACGGGTTCAGATTCGTCGGCTCCAAGGAGCTGGCAGCTCGGCCGGCCCTGCTGAGCTGCTCTCATTCTGTCATGGCTCATGATTCACTCACAAATACACCACTTCTTATCCAGGCGACACGTGCCCTGATACATATTTTACGCTAACTTCATACATCTGGATGCAACCAGATCTGTTTTCTGCATCTTTAACCGTTCTCCGACTAACATGAATCAGCCAAGTCCGCAATGCAGTTCACAGCAAGAAGTCAGACCGATAGGATTTGTTTGGACGTTTTTAGGCACCTCTGCCAGCAGGACTATCCTCTTGGCATCGGGCCAGATGATGTGGTCCACCTGTGAGCGAACCCTCTCCCAGGTTAGTTCAGGGGTCCGCAGGCTGGCCTGCGGAACGAAAACAATTTAAGGTCATTTTAGCCTCTACATGTGGAAGATGATCTTTTCCCCAGCTATTAGGATGGATCAAATAATTAATTGACTTAAAAGCCCAAAAACTAAAACACATTTCCAAATTTCTTACAAAATACTGCAACATAAACAGTAAGAGAAGCAGGCATTGTTAAAGGCTTCCGACGTCGTCATTAAGAGTTGCAAACTCACCACATCGATTTCGGTGTTGGAGTGCCCCATGTTGCAGACAATACAGCCGTTCTTCATGCGGTCCAGGTGCTCTCTCACCACAACGTTCTTGTTACCTAGTGAAGAAGAGGTGAACGAGTGATTCAATCTGAGAAAAGGAGCAGGAAAAGAGCACACTTAAAAAAAAAAAAATATATATATATATATATATATCATATGAGGTCAGCATAAGACAACCAAGTCTGCCTCTGTCATTTATAATTTAATTACCTATCTTAGAAAGTGAGCAAAGATAATTAGGTCTGGAAATGGAGTTCAGTTAGAGTTGGCTCAACATGCTGAAAGGATCTCAGGGTTTAAAGAATTTTCTCTTGGCATTAAAACTATGAGAAAATATTCTTTGTGAAATATTTTAACAGTTAGAAAACCTACAGACACAAAGTAACAAGGGTCAAAGTTCAAATGGCGGTTTATTGAGCCTACAAAGATTTCTAAATGATTTACATCCCTGAAACTTTATTTCTATCCTTCACAACTAGAAACTAAACATGTATTTTAGTGTGATTGGGTGGGGATTTGAAGCTGGTCATGTTGATGCAGGGACTGGACTAAACGCTGAAAACCATAAAGAAGAAAAACTTCTTACAGTATGAACATGTTGGAACAGAGCAGTCACAGCGCAAAAATAAATCTAATTGAAAATCTGTAAAAAAGAAAAAAAAAAAGACTTCAATTCTCCATCTAATCTGATAAAGACTGAGCAATTAAGCAAAGAAGAATGGCCAAAACCTGTTGATGTTCAAAGGTGGTGGAGGTTTATCATTTTCCCTTTTACTTTATGATTATACACTTCTTTTTGTTGGTGTGCTATGTGGAACTGGACCTCAAAGGAAACTAAACTTTCTCAATGTTTTCTATATTCACCCAAAAAAAAAACAATTGGATTTTTACACTAATCTTCCACACAGCTGGGTTGTCAACGTCGCTATTTTCACCTAATTCAGGGAAAACGATTTTTTTTTTTTAAAGTTTAGTTTTTTAGTTGTTTTTTTTTTAAGGCTGCCTTGTTCCTGTGCAACTCGCTACGATTGCAGAGCCTCCGCTTCAACCCTGACGGGTGATATTTGGTAATGAAGTGGCGACCAGTAATTCTCTGCTCTAATCCAAAGGTCAGCGTCGGCTCCCTTGCCCTCGAGGTTCAGAGCTTTATT